TAGTAGTTGTAGTGGTGACAGCAGTAGTCGTAGTCGTCGTTTGCACGAGAAGCCTGACTTAGTGCAGGAGTCATAGTGGTGGTGGCAGTAGTAGTAGTAGAAGTAGTAGTAGTAGTAGCAGCAGTAGTAGTAGTAGTAGTAGTAGTAGTGGTAGTCGTAGTAGTAGTAGTTGTAGTAGTACTAGTAGTCGTATTAGTAGCCGCAGTAGTGGTAGTAGTAGTAGTCATAGTAGTAGGAGTAGCAGTAGCAGTCGTAGTAGTAGTAGTAGTAGTAGTAGTAGTAGTAGTAGTAGTAGTAGTAGTCGCCGTCGTAGTAGTGGTAGAAGAAGGAGGAGTAGTCGTAGTAGTAGTCGTCGTAGTAGACGTAGCAGTAGTACAAGTCGTAGCAGTAGTAATTGTAGTAGTCATTGTACCATGTAGTCTCATCATGCCCATTGGTAGTAGTCTGAACAGTAGCCGTAGTTCTAGCAGTAGGTGTTGTAGTAGTTTGTACACGTTTAGAACTAGTAGTAAAAGCTGCAGTGCAGTAAGACGTTGTCGTTGCAGTGGTTCGAGTACAATTGCCAGTGCTTACTCTTATTACCTGTTTGAAGTAGGCGCTGGCGGAGACTGTGAGCCCGAGCCTAGACAGGCTCGCGTAACGATTTTCTCCTCAGGGCCGTGAAAGGATTCATTGAAAAGCCGGCCCCAGGGAAGGGATTGAGCCTTCGGGGGCCCACGCTGTGAAGAAAGCGCGACGTCGTGGGGCTCGGCAAGAAGGCAAGGGCGGCTTCTTGGGAGGGCAGTGCCCCTTCTGAGAAAGTTTCCGGGAGTATTTCTCAGAAGGCATGCGCGCTTCTAACAGGCGGGAGGCTTTCTTAGAAGATCCGCTCCCCTCACCCTGCCACCTGAGCGCCGCCAAACGTGGGCTTCTAATGCGACCAGGGCAGCTCCAGGATCGTCAGCGGAGGCTGGGCGAAGGCTAGCCACGGGAGAGCCGCAGCGATGAGCAAGCGGAAGTTGGCGTTGACTGTCGGTGCCGTACTTGCCACGTGCTTTGCAAGCCACTGGGCGCATGCGAGATGAAGGATGACACGGAGAAGGAGGCCATCTTTCTCTGCGTTGCCGCCCAAAGCGCATTCTGAACCGCTCCTGCGGCTTTTGCGCGCCGCATACGCTTTTACTGCTGCCCGTGCGAGAGGCAATCTTACAGCTGAAGCGTGAGCTCAAACAAGGGCAGAACGTGCGTGTGCCAACGCAGGTGTGCCCTCACATGTGGATCGACGGGTAGATGACTCGCCGTCCAGAGCGTCAGGTGTTCCTACTTCGCCACGATGTACTGAGCAACGCGCCAGCTTGACCTCCGTTCGAGCTTGCGCGCCGTGCTCTCAGACGGGACGGCCCAGCCACTCGGAGGAGGACCAGTTGAGACAACGACGGCCCTCCCGCCTGACCCACATCCGTTCACCATTGGTGCGCAGACCCCACCTGGGGTCCATCCTCGCCCGTTTTCCGGCGCAGGTCTTGCCGTGCCGACGAGAAGTCCCAAGGAAGTCCAGAAAGAACGAAAGACGCCGGGGAGGGCCGCCGTTGTCTCGATTGGCCCTCCTTCGAACCACCACCTTCCACAGGGGATCGCTGACTTCGAATCAAGCGTACTTTTTGAGCGATTCCGGAACTTGGGCGGACATTCCCGCCCGGCTTGTCAAGCTTCTTCGATGCCGATTTCCACGCTACGTTGCCGTCGAAGTTTCCGCCGCATCTGCACACGACTATCCGCCGTATTCTTCTGAGGTGGAGACTTCCGCCCTACTCCTTCGCATCGTTCGGGGCGCATTTCGGGCACAGTTCGAAGTCGCCAAGCGTCTACAGTCAAAAACCCTAATAAGGACGCGCGGTAAGGACGCAAGACCCTTGGACGCCGAAGTTGGGATCTTTGGGGCGGCGGACGACGAAAACCCCAAGGACGCAAGAGCAAGGAAGAGCAAGGACGCAAGGGTATCCTGAGCAAAGTCGCGCGTCCTTATTAGGACTTTGGACTGTACCACAGCTCGGCGGATCCAAAGTCGGAGATCCCTCCGCCAGCGCGCTGGGTGCTGCCGCCCCTGCCGAGGCGCGCTGCACCGCGGCAGGGGGGCCGACACCCTGCCGCGGGCAGCGTCGCGCCGAGGCCGAGCAGTGCGCAAGCGCTTGGGCCGCCTCGAGGGCTCGAAGGTCGCGAGCCGGTCGTCCGAGTTGCAGGCCATGGGAGCGGCCAACCGTCCTTGAGATCCGATTTCGCGGCAGGTTTGCAACATCGTGGAAAGAATCACGCCTATAGAGCCGTAGGCCCCATCTTCCTGCGTCGTTCTTCCGGCCGGACCGATCTGTGAGGGCCCCGGGGCCCGAACAACGGCGAGGACGCCCGGCTCGAAGAAATCGGAACGCCAGGATCTCAGGGAAGGGCGGCGCCATGGCTTCCACCCAGATCACGCTCGACTTTCCAGGCGTCACTGGGCAGGCGCCGGGCTTTGTAGCTGCACGCTGCACACCGCAGGCTCGTCCCGCTTAAGAGCGCAGGCCGCCGCCCGCTCGCGCAGGCTCGCGCGGGCGCGCGCAAGCCTCGAGCAGGGGATCGACTGCAGCGGAGGCCCATGCCAAGGAGCTCCCTGCCCGCCTCCTGGGGTTAAGTCGGGCCTGTCCCTCTACAGGGGGAACATTCAGAAAGAGTCCAAAAATTGTCAGGGGACGAGTTGTTGACAATGTTTGGCCATTTGGGGGTATTATTTTTAACTTTTCGTCCAAAATCCCCCTGTAGGGAGACATGCCCGACCTAATCCCAGGGTGCCCTGGGTTTCTTGGGCTTCGATGGCTTTGCCATGGAAGGCGTGACGTTCCCGCACCGAAAATCAATAGATGTCCTGGGCTCTCAGTGTTGGATTTCTTGTGGAAGGTTTCCGGTGGTCGTGCCCCTACTGTACAGCATTGACTCACCCCAGAATTAGCTTTCTCGTCGAGTCCTACGTAGACTGTTCGTCGATCTACGAGCAGTCGACGCCTGTCTCATGGATTCGGCGGACATACGAATTTTGGGGCAAATCAACTCTGCACAATCAATTCGCACAGTAAGGATGAGCGACTTTCCAAGGTTACCCGTGCATCCTTGCCCTTTCGGCCCGTCCTTGGCCGCTCTCGCTGGCCAAAACCGCGTTCGAAAAGTGGCCACATGGCCATCCAGGGCCCTCGCTTCCTCATCGTGCGTCCCTATCCTACGGCTTGACTGTATAGTCGACCCCCTGCTCGAAAGCCGCGCGGCCGCGGCAGGCCCGGCCGCGCGCAGGCCGCGGGGCCGCGACCTGCGCGCGCGCGCGGGCGGGCGGCGCGCGGCGGGCGGCGCGCGGCCCTGCGACAGGCGGGCGGGCCCAGAGAGGAGCGCCAGCGGAGCGGGATCGGACGGGGCTGGGACGAGGACACCTCCGTTCCAGAGCGTTCCGACCTCGCCTCTCTCCTCCGTGCTCCCGCTCGCGGCGCTCCAGGTCCTGGCCCCCTCTGCCCCCTTCGGACGGGGCTGGGACGAGGACACCTCCGTTCCAGAGCGTTCCGGGAGGCTCTCAGAGCGTTCGGGAACGCTCTGAGAAGGCCGCGGCGCCCGAGGCATCCTCCAGAGCCGCCGGATCTCAAAGATTCTCGATTGATCCTCACACGATTGTATCCTCGTTCGAGCGGGTGGCAATGGGGGGTGTCACCCCAAGGGACGGTGAAGAAGAACTCCCTAAAGGGACCATTCAGGGCCCCTCCTGGGCCCCTGCTAGCTCTAAAAGGGGCGCTAAAGGGCCCCTTCAGGGCCCTTCTCGTCACCCTCACCCCACACTTGGGTCACCCCTCATCACCACCCGCCCGACTCGTCCTGGCTTCGTCTTACTGGAGGGCGCCTGCCCGCGCGTCGTCCTCGCGGCGGATGCAGAGGGCCTGGGCCTGCTGCACTGGGGCGCGTCCCGTGTTCAAAACGTGCGTGTTCCGAGCGTCTTTGTTGCAGACGTCTTTGCTTCTAGGGCCCCCGGGTGGGGTCGGAGTAGATGGCGTCGGAGGATCGCGCCGCACCGCCGATGCATCGCCGATGCGGCTCGATGCGGAGCCCGATTTGTTTCACGTCGACATCGCCGATGCATCGCCGACGTCGACGATGCATCGCCGATGCATCGTCGATGTATCGGCGATGCGACGCGATCCTCAGACCCCATCTACTCCGACAGCATCCAGAAGGCCTCCTTTGTTGAAACGCAACACGTCCCGTGTTCAACTCGTCCGTGTTGACACGCTGCGCATTATCCTGGCTCGTGTTGGCCAACGTTTTGGCAATCGTATCGCGCCCGACCTACGTTTTCAGTCTACGCGTTGAGCTCCGTGTCGCACGATAGGGCGGCTTAGCCCAGACAAGGTCCAAGCAGATGGGGTGGGAGGGTCGCTTGTTATTCCTGATGCATCTGCGATGCGGCGCAATCCACCGACCCCATCTACTCGGACACTGTTTGGGAGGCCCCTGAAGGGTGTGGATAGACCAGGGGCGGGCGTCACATGAATTCGACAGGAAGCCACGTTTCGAAGGCATCGGCGATCGGAGCACCCGGATACGTGTGATGTTCCCCCTCGGGACTCTCCGCCTTTGTTGCAACCGCCGACCGTTTCGACAAAGCAAAAATCGGCACGAGCCCAGACTTTCGGAGGTCCGCGCAGATTTCTTGGATCCGCGCTGAGCCTAGTTGGAGGGAGGGCGGCGAGGGACGGGGGAGGAGGAGGGAGGTGGAGGAGGAGGTGGAGGAGGAAGAAGAGATGGAGGAGGAGGAGGAGGAGGAGGAGGAGGAGGGAGGAGGAGAGGAGAGGAGGAGGAGAGGGAGGGGGGGGAGGGGGGGAGGAGGAGGGGGGAGAGAGGAGGAGATGAAGGAGGAGGAGGAGGAGGAGGGGAGGAGGAGATGATGGAGGAGGAGGAGGAGGAGGAGGAGGAGGAGGAGGAGGAGGAGGAGGAGGAGGACCCCCGCCGGCGAGGACCACTGCGCCAACAGCGAGGGCAGCGGCCCCGAGGGCAGGGCCTTCTCGTGCAGCTCCGGGGGGCCCTCGCTCGCGGCCGCCCGAGGCCGCACCTCCGAGCCTCCCTGCGCCGGCTGCGCCGGGGAGGGGTGGAGGGGCTCAGGGTCCCCGCCCGGGAGCAGCGCGACGGGGAATCGTCGACCAGGGGGCAGCGGTAGAGGGAGGTAGGCATTAGGGGGGGATGCATCAGCCCGCAATCGCTCACTGATCGCCGATGGCGGCCCGATAGCCCCAGCCTGCCCAGGAAGGTGCGGATTCCTCACCGCAGGCCTATCGCCGATCTATCGGCGATGTATCGCCGATTCCAGGTCGATGTTCCCCCCCCCCCTATGCCAGCCCCCCCTATCGTTGCTCCTCAAGAGAGTGACCTTTTGCCAGAGTGACCTTTGGTGCAGGCACAGGTGGGCCCCCAGAGGGCTGAATGCGAAGCAGTGGCAGCGGCTTGCGCGCCCAGGTTTGGCCACCCCGCGTCCCCCGTCAAGCCGCGCATCAAAGGTCACTCTTGCCTAGAGTCACTCTTGCGCGTAGCCGAGATAGGCCCAGATGTTCGAGTTTCGAGGTTTTGGGATGGGTTTCCAGCCTCGGGGTGCTCGCCAGCAGCTGCTCCTCGCCAGGAGCCTTCCGGGTATGCCCACATGGCCCCGAACGGCCGCCGGAGTGCCAAGTTCTGATCCGAAAACCAGGGGGACAACGGTAGCAGGGATGGGCTCAGGAAGGGATATGTCGACCCCCATCGCCCACTCATCGCCGATAGGGGCCCGATGGCCCACCCCGCCCAGGAACGTGCGGTGTCGCTATCGGGAGCCTATCGCCGATGTATCGGCGATGCATCGCCGAGTCCAGCTCGATACAGTGGAAGCCCATGCCAAGAAACACCTGGCTTGCCTCCAGGGTGCCATGGGTTTCTTGGGTTTCGATGGTTTTGCTGTGGAAAGGGTGACTTTCCCACACCGAAGAAGTCAGTGGGCGTCCTTGGGTCTCAGGGTTGGATATCTTGTGGAAGGCCTCTTGTGGTCGAGCTCCCACTGTTGTTCCTGCCCAGAGCGGGCCACCTCCCGTCGTTCCCCCCCCCGCAGGTCGGGCAGTGCCACGGGGCGGCCGCCACCTCCCGGCGCCAGGTGCGCCACGCGGCGGGTCCTGAGGTGTTCGAGTGGATGCCGGCCTTCGGCGGCGAGCGAAGAAGCGGGGGGAATTCGGAAGGAGGCGGCCGTCCCAGAAGGCGGCGGGACCTCTCAGAAGCCCTCGCGCCTTCCAAGAGAAGTGTTTTGTGTCTTCGGGGGAGGCTTCGAAAGCGCTGAGAAGTGTTCGGTGTCTCCGGGGAAGGCTTAGACGACTTCTCAGAAAGCCGGGGGGCTCCGGAGCCTTCTGAGAAGGCCCGCCCCTTCTCACGTCCCCCCCGTGCTCGCCGCTGGGACCTGTCGCAACCAGTCGCGAGAGGCCCAGGAGCCCCCCCATTCTGTGGCAGGTGGGCCCAGCTCTCCCAGCGATCGCGGCCGAGCAGACTTGCGAGGCGGCGAGGACCGTCGGCCCTCCGACGGGGCGCCGCTGGGAGAGCTCCCACCCACTGATCGCTCCCGGCCATCGTGTGGTGTTGGGCCCTCGTTTTGAAGAGACAGCGCCCCGCGTCCCCTCCTCTCCTCTCCTCCTTCCCCTCCCTCCTCCTCCCATCCCTGCCTCTGCCCATCCCTGCCCCCGCCCTCCGCATCTCTACCTTGTCGGCACGCCCCTCACACGGCTCGTGCACGCCACCCGCGTCCCAGCCCCCAGGCTTCAACGCCTCGAACTTTTCCGAGCTTCCCGCGCCGCGGAGCGGAGCGACACGCTTGCGGGGCACAGCGTGTCGCTGGGGCCGCCGCGGCTGCGCGCGGAGCGAAATGGACCACAGGCCTTCGCAGGTAACCCGAGAGCGTCAGTCGCGAGGAGCCCCCAGGAGCCGCGCGCCAAGCCGATGCCGATGTCCCCTGGCCCCCAGCAGGGCCAGCAGGGCCACGCAGCGGGCCCCGAGGAGGGCTGCCAGAGCCGCCGCTCGCCGCAGATACGGCTCAGCGTGGGGGAGGGGTGGAGGCCCCGCAATGGGCTGCTGCATTCCAGTCCGGAGGGGTTTGGAAGAGGCTGGGCCGGGGGCGAGTTGGGGGCCCAGGGAGCAGCGCACCTTCCGAGGTTTGGTCATGGCTGGTGGCGCCCGCACCGCTTGCACCATCGTCGCCAACAGTTGCCCCAGGCGCGCCTGCTCTGCGGGGAGCAGGGCATCTTGTATCACGCGCATGTCGCCCGTCCTGCGCGCGAAGCACGGCATCGAGACAACCTCCCCCAGGAGATTGCGGTGTCGGTCGAGCGCCCATCTCGCTGTTCAGTCGTGGCTCCCTGGACTTTGTCAGCTCGCAGCGAGGGAAAGAGACAAGAGGAGGAGGAGAAAGGAGGCAAGAGGAAAAGGAGGAGGAGCAGCAGCAGGGGGAGGGAGAAGGAGGAGGAGGAGGACTAGGACTAGGTCTACGACTCGGACTAGGACTAGGACTAGGACTAGGATTCGGACTAGGAGTAGTAGTAGTAGTAGTAGTAGTAGTAGTAGTAGTAGTAGTAGTCGCAGTCGCAGTCGCAGTCGTAGTAGTGGTAGTGGTAGTGGTAGTGGTAGTGGTAGTGGTAGTGGTAGTGGTAGTAGTAGTAGTAGTAGTAGTAGTAGTAGTAGTAGCAGTAGTAGTAGTAGTAGTAGTAGTA